GATGTCCTCGTTGGCGATAACGGAGAAGAGATCCAGTGCATGATGACTGCAGGTTTGTTTGGAATGAAGGTCTCTGGTGATGTAGAAGGGCGAAGGGACACGGTGAGACCGATTTCGGGGTGGTGGATGTTTGAAAAGGTAGCTGAATCCCAGGAAAAGACGGATTGAAAGGCGATATGTTAGCTTAAATAGCACTGGTATTTTCAGGGTTAGCCTCGTTCAGCAATATTTACAGCCTCAAGTGGTAAATCCCAGTCAAAAATGACTCGGGTTATTCCGAGGTAGACCTGATTGCCTAGAATTGAAGTGATGTAAGGTGTCGTTTTATCGACAGAATTCTACATCAGGAAAAAATGGACTTGCGATATTGCGGTATGTAGACGTGATAGTGCTGGTAGCGCCATCGAGAGCCCCCTGATATATAGTTTGTGGTAGATGCACCGACAAATACATATCACTACAATTAAGTCTATAGCTTAGCGTGGTTGTGCTGTATCATCATATAGTTTGATAGAGTCAAATTCCCGTAGTTGTACATAGCTCTATGTGAACTCTATGGTACAAGGTAGCTTGATAAATATTCTAAAAGAAGAATCGGCTTTTTCTTGGGGGGTAATCGTCATAGTTTCTAATATAGGAAACAACGTGTCAGTCTAAGGATTTGAAGTGTCCATTTCATTTTGTAGTGTAGAGTACGCATTGTATTCTATTTCGTATTGTAAATTAAATGTCTGCATTGAGCCGGACTCGAACTCCAGGGCTTGCGGTAATAGTTACCTACTAAGTTACTCTAGTCAGTTATCGATAGTTACCACTACACCAGCGGGCAATATATGAACACGGAATCTCAGGTGGCTATGATCATCGAGTGTCAAGCTTTGAAAGATCATGCCCAGCCTGCGCGAAATGTTCAACTCCTCTGCCCACCACGCGCTCGAATGGCCCAGGTACGGTGAGTGTCAACGTTATGTCTAAAGTGCATAGTCTGATTTAGTGACCAATCCGAGCCCTTCAGACATCTCAAGGAGGTCAGGTGCAGACTAGGGCTTATAGGAGTGCGACTCGTCTGAGCGTGTAGAGGGGCAAACCACGACGGCAGTGGGTGCAGACGCCCTGCAACAAAATGGGAAAGGAGAAGACTCACGTTAGCGTCGTCGCCATCGGACACGTCGATTCCGGTAAATCGACCACCACCGGTCATTCTCCCTCATGGTATTACGGTGCCATGAACACAGCCAGAAGACCACAGCCACCCGGTGACAGGCGACGACAAAGGAAGGTAGTGTCGAGGAGGTGCAGGGGGGTTATTCAAAAGCAATGACGTGGGGCCTCCATCTCGTTCTCGATGTGGAGGAACTGTCGATGGGTGACGGGCTGCGTCGCGTAATTTCACAAGGTACGTGGCTCTTTCTGACCACAAATCTCAGCCACAACCACCTACCACCCCAGCTAAACTATGTCAACACCGACATCAAATAAGCGATTCGCCACTCCCCCTCCAAACGACATCCCCCATCAATCGTGTGCATGATCAGACATTACAGCCCTCCAGACAATGCATTAAAACGGTTAGTAATAGGTATAAGTTGAGGGGAATACAGTTATTAATTGGCGAGGCCGGTGTGTTTCGGGGGGTAGAGAAACTGCAGATACAAAATCCATAGCATTGATAGCCAACATAGATCTTGCTGTAACTATTCATCCGACTAATAAGATATTGCTTCCTCATCAGCTCTAGGTACTATCAAATGACAAGGCCATGCTATCATGACCAATGCAGTTACATATTGCGCTCAGCTAAAATACAGTGCCTACTTTTTCTATATCTGGCTACAGAACTAACCGGCGATCTATCAGAGAAATCACCTTTTCCTGATGTATACAAATAGATTTGAGTTCGATCCAATTTGATATTACACGATGTAAGCCATGTACACAGTGCGGTTTTTAGTGTGGGTCAGCCTTGCAAATCGCCTGAAATATATCTAACTCGATTGATGCTCACACAAGCCACGCAAATCGGCCATAGTCACTGTGGCTCGGCCTGATCGGAGTTGATTTTCACAGGGGGTAAATATTAACCACCACAATTCATGCTAGAGGTCCGACGTGACATACTCAGCCAAGCAGTACTAACAGAAAATGAATGTTACTACATACATATCATTCCTGATTCTTTGTCTGGGAGTTGAATCCAACTTCGAAAGGGAAGTGCTGCGATAGCACTGGATTCATGGTACACTCGTCACCCTAATTCATATAAAGATATTGGGGAAATTTATGGACAGCAGGAAGAATTTCCTTTGCACAGGACCTCACTGGGATCTGGTGGGTTGGATTGTGAGATTGCAATAGAAGATGTGGCAGAATGCAAGACGTAACACAAGTCTCTTGAGAAATGAGCTTAAGAAGAGCTCGGGCTTCCCGACTCGACTGAACAACGGCGGCCTGACCCTTCAAGGACCCTTAGACTATTCCGTTTCCAAATGGGCAACTAGAAATCTGTGTGGCACTAGTGTGGCGTGCCTGCCACATCAGGAAAAAAAAATGTATATGTAGTTTTCTGATTGAATATGTACCCTCAGTAGTTTTCTTCAGAAAGTCAGTAGCTTCCACTGCTCCAAGTAGTGCTGATAAACTCTGGTTATGCACCCATAGTCCAGGTACACTCAGTTCATTTGTTCATAAACTCAATAGCTTCCAATATTTTCAACTCATTTCCCCATAGACCTTGATTGTTGTTCCTACAGTGTCAGTAGACCAAGTAGTTTCTGCTCGAAATATTGAGGTTGCTTGACTATTTCAGTAGACTCCATGGATTTCACCATCTGTCATATACATTGTCAAAAATAGTGCAAACACCGTGAATCAAACCCTCAGCTCCACCAGACATCTCAGGGGTGGACAAGAGAGCAATCTAGCAGCTGCACCGTACAACTGTTTAAACTTTAAAGCAACTAAACAGAGCTCACTAGATGCTGTTGTCACATAGCCACACCCAAATCTGAGGTGAGGACTTAGACAAAATTTCATTCATTGATTGTCAGCGTTTGGCCACGCTTGATTTAGGCGTCCCACAACCTGCCCACAAACTCCTCAACCACTACCATCATTGATCATCCATGACGCCCACTCACGACCGCCGCACCACCACCGTCACCAATGGCCACCACAACCCACAACCCTCATTGACCACCCACAACCAGCCCGGCATGCCCCAACACCACAAGAACAACGCGGCAACACCACGTCACCAGCTCTGGCAAGAAAACGAGCGCCTGCAACATCGACGCGACAACGAGGACAGTGACAACGTTGTGTGCCAACCCAGGTGAGCTAACACAACCCCTGCCCCCCATTCCTTTAGTCATACAATGTTCAGGTGCCACGTCACTAGAAGACGTGGCAACCAAATGACGAATGACAACCAATTCGCTGTTCGTCGTCCGGACTGACACGACACAACAACGGTGCAACACCAACACAGGACAGCGACGACTCAACAACAATACAGAACTACCATGCGACTACGACACGGGACACGGATGTGCCACGTCATCCCAGATGGCGACAACACATGCCGTCATCACCGTC